AAACTTACCCACAGTTGTGCCTCTTGGCACATTCTAAATACTGTCAAGTTGACAATGAAAATTAATGATCACAGGGCCCTTAGTGTGTGGTATCCATGCACATGTTTGTATGAACACATGCATGTGGAGGTCAGAAGAGGATGTCCAGTGTCTTCTGCTGTTCTGCTTCTCTTTATTACATTTTGGGGGCAGGGGTAGGAAACACATGCCACGGTTTGTGGATGTCAGAAGACATTTTGTAGAGTCAGTTCTCTCCTTCCACCATGCAGGTCCAGGGATGAAACTCAGGTCATCAGGCTTGGCTGCAAGCGCCTCCTTACACACTGAGCCATACTCCCACCTGTCCCCAACCCTCCACTTTCTTTAGAGACCAAACTTTCACTGAACTTGAAGCTTGGCATTTCATCTAGGCCAGCTAACCACAAAGCTTTGGGGATCAATCTGTCTCTGCCCCCTCACCCCAGCAGGGGGGTTACTGGTACACACACCCATGCCCAAACTTTTTATGTGGATGCTGGGGATTTGAACTCTTGATGCATAGCAAACCTTCTTACCCACTGAGCATCGCCCCACCCTTCTTTCTGGAACTCTTCACTAGCTCTTTGCTGCCACTGCTAGAAACTCTAGGTTTTTGTTTTGTGCCACTAGTTCAGCCACTCTACACCACGATAAAGATCACAGTAGAAAATCATGTAGAAGAAGCCTTTATTCTGGCTTAATGTTGCTAAACACAGCGTGAGTAAATAGGAGAGCAGTCTCCAAGCTAACACAGAAAAAGAGTGTCAAACACCCTACTTACACAGCTAGTGAAAGGGTGTGACACACTTCTTGGTCAGATTATAATTCACCAATTACAGTCAAGCATAGACATTTCTTGCAGCTCCGCCAATCACAAGCCTTACACTCAGGCTTTTTGCTGAGTCACTGGAGAGGTACTCCCCTCCTGTGCTGAGAGAATTGCTGCAGAGTGAATAGGTCATCCAGAATTTAGAGGGTTATCTCGCTTAGAGTGGAGTTTTCCAAAGCCAGCACAGGTTGCCTGAAGCAGTCATGACTGGAACAACGTCTCCCGAAGCAGGAGTCTGTATTAGTCGTGGTTGCAGGGGTCCTTGAATCTGCAGTGTAGGCACCTATCAAGTGTTCAGAACAGCTGCGATGTCATGACAGTTCAGCTGATCACCAAAACAGGGGAGGCTTGGTTAACAGCTCCCTTAGCTAAATCAAGGCGTCTGGGTGCAAATGAAAGGTCTGATAGCTGTCAATCAATCAAAGGGTCAAACTGGCTGGTCCTCAACAGCTTAGTTTATTTGAAGTAAATATTAAAGGGTGCTTACCATAGAGGACTATTATTAAAGCTATTTAACAATGTTCAATTTCCAGCCAAATACTTAGCAAAACATTAGATTCTTTTATCACTCACTTCTTTTTTTTTTTTAAATTTCATTTTATGTGTATGAGTGTTATTGCCTGCATGTATAAAAGTGCACCCATGTCATGCAATGCCCGTGGAGGTCAGAAGACGGTGTCAGATCCCTTGGAACTGGAGTTATGGATGGTTGTTAGCCACCACGTGGTGCTGGGAATCAAACCCAGGTCCTCTGCAAGAACAGCTAGTGCTTTTAACTGCTGAGCCATCTCTCCAGACCCTTCATCTCACTTTTATAATGTATCTCATTAGGAATATGTTTTCTGACAGGCTGAAAATTGGTATAGACACATTTGGGGAAAAGAATTTTGAATAGAATCTTAGACCAAGATTATTGTGCACTTGTTACTTTATGCCAAGTTAGCATGTTTTCTGTTCCTTGGAGCTCTGATTTAAATTCCCATGGAAACCACACATGGTGTTACACAACTTTAGTTAGGCCCAGCATTCAGGAGGCAGAGGCAGGTGGATCTCTGTGACATCAAGGCCAGCCTGGCCTATAAAGCAAGTTCCAGGCCAACTGGGGCTACAGAGAGACCCTATCTCAAATTCTCAGATAAGTACATAAAAAATAAACCTCAGCCGGGCGTGGTGACACACACCTTTAATCCCAGCACTTGGGAGGCAGAGGCAGGCAGGTCTCTGTGAGTTCAAGGCCAGCCTGGTCTACAAAGTTCCAGGACAGCTGGGGCTATAGGAAGACCCTGTCTCAAAAAGACCAAAAAAAAATTTTTTTTCAATGGAACTAGAGGGGTGGTATGGTATTTCTTTCTTTTTTTTTTTTCCTTCGGTGTTTTTGAGACAGTGTCTCCCTGTAGCCTCAGCTGGCCTGGAGCTCACTTTGTAGAGCAGGCTGGCCTTGAACTCATAGAAATTTGCCTGCCTCTGCCTTCCAAGTGCTGGGATTAAAGGTGTGCAACACCTTGCCAGGTTGTTTATTTTCTTCTGAAGTCTATCAAAATTATGTAGTTGCCATTAAACTCTTGATGGGTTTCAATGGACGTGGCTGCAGGCAATGATTTTGGTGGCAGTGGCATTACTTTTGAATTCGTGTGAAATGAGAAATGCAGGGCTAAAGGTTTAGCGCAGCAGTACGGCATATGTTTAGCATGTGGTAGGCTCTGTGTTCAATTCCCAAGACCAAAAATGCACTAAAGAAATTTAAAAATCCAACTACATGGGTCCTACCTCCAACCTCCTCAATCACAATATCTCTAGTTGGGCAAAAACTTCTATCAAATGCCCTCCATGTGGAATATAGGATAAACTAATGTTTGAGAAGCACTGGGGTACAACAAACCTTTTGTCCATTGGAATGGCTTTGGTTCTTCCCCTTGAACCTCAATTCTGACATAGATGTACCTTACTAGGAACAAAGTCACTTTGTCTGTTGTGCTTAGACCATTAAGTTGAGATTGACTTATTTGATTGGTTTTGTTTTCCTGAGACAGTAGCACTGGTTGGCCTGGAATTCCCTATGTATACCAGGCTGGTCTGGAACTCAGAGATTCACCTGCCTCTGCCTCTTAGGTGTTGAGCCTAAAGGTATGCACCACCTTGCCTGGCTAAGATTTACTTCTTTGAATTCCCACCAGCACCAACATCTCCATTCCTTGTTAGCCTCTGGCAATTAACCTTGTAGTTAGGCTTCAATGGACAGGGTTCAGGGTTCTCTGGCAATTGAAGGACAATTTAATCTTTTGAAAGTACCTACCCAGTCTGTGGTTCCCTTCCTTGTTTACATAGACTCACACAGGGTTCAATGTTCACGTGGAACACTTAAAATTAAGGTGGTTTGTAGGATAAGGGAATCAGGGTTCTGTAGTCTAAAGACTCTAGTTACTGTTTCTTATCTATATGACTTTGGACAAGCTCTTTGGCCTCTCTGGACTTCAGTTTATTCCGCCATAAAAAAGTAGGCCTAATGGTACTGATCTCACAGGATGGAGTGGAATACCGTGGAAATGTCCTTTGCAGTCCCTGCTCTATAGTAACTCTCATTAAAGATTGGCTAGCATTTGTTCTTCTTTTGCCTCATGGCCTTTCTTCCATTCTCTATCCCCTAGAGGGGCAAATGGGGCTGGGGGAAGGGTAGGGGACCTTTTCTGCTTTTGAAACAGAGAGCTATATTGAAACCTAAGGTGGTCTGAAACTTTTGGCAATTTTAAGTCCCTTTACCCTCTCATGTGCTGAGATTATAGGTGTGAAAAACTATCCCTAGTTTCTCAAAAGGGAGTGAGGGTGGGTCTCATACAGCTCAGGCTGGACTTGAACTTGTGAAGTAGCAGAAGATGACCTTGAACTTCTGATCTTCCAGCCACCACCTCCCAAGCATGGAATTACAGGCTTTGAATAGAAGGATATTTAAATTTTTTTAAATTTATGAGGCTGGAGAGATGGCTCAGCGGTTAAGAACACTGACTGTTCTTGAAGAAGACCTGGGTTCGAATCCCAGCACCCACATGGCAGCTAACAGCTGTCCATAACTCCAGTTCCAGGGGATCCGACAGCCTCTTCTGTCCTCCGAAGGCATTGCACGACATGGGTGCACTTACCTACATGCAGGCAATACACACGTACACATAAAACAAAAATGTAAAATTTATATTTTAGGTGTATAAGTGTTTTGCCTACACCCATGTCATGCAATGCCCATGGAGGCCAGAAGACGGTATTAGAACTGGAGTTATGGACAGTTGTCAGCAGCCATGTGCAAGAACAGTCATTGCTCTTAAACCACTAAGCCATCTCTCCAGTCCCGATGCCAGGATATTTTAAGTCCCTTTTTTCCCCTCTGAGAGAAAATGAGGAAAGCTTTGAAGGATAGAGAAGAGGGGTGGAGATCATGTAGGTACATACAGGGAGGAAGAATTTGGAAGCCACAAGTACACTTATGGAGGAGGGCCATAGGTAGGACCAACTGAGATGGATGCCAGGGCAGACTGGCAGGGCCCAGGTTGTGAGGGCAGACACAGGACAGGTACAGCCTAGCTGAGAGAGAATGAGTTTGAATCCACTGCACTGATGAATGTCTCCCAGCTGGAGAAATGGCTCCGCGGTTAAGAGCACCAGCTGCTCTTGCAGAGGACCTGGGTTTGGTTCCCAGCACGTACATGACAGCTAAAAACCGTCCAAAACTCTAGTTCCAGGAGATCGTAGCGTTCTTCTGACCTCTGACCTCTGTGGGCTTTGCAGGACACAGGTGCACACGCAGGACACAGGACACATGCAGGGAAAACACTTACACATATAAAATAAATAAAAAGCATTTAAGTGGAACGTCTCCAGAGGGAGAGATGGGCCTGAAGTTGGGGCGTGGCCATGGCCGTGACTGTGAAAGAAGAAGTACCGCCAAAACCTGCAACGAGCAGGCTGAGAGTTAAGGGGCCGGTGGTGGGCGGGCTTTGGAGATAAGGGGCGTGGCTAGCGTGAGCGCCGTGTCGAGGGCGTGGCCACGGAGGGCGCGGCAGGTGCAGGGCTGGGTCCCGCGGTCGGCCGCCAGGGCCGCACAGCCTGGGGAAGTGGGCGGGGAGACGAGATGGGCGGTGAAGAGGCCGGGCCTGAGGAGGCGGGCTGGGCTTTGTGGAACACCAGGGGACCCGAGGGGGTGGTGGTAGGCCGGGCCCGCCCCGCGGCCGCCGTCTCTCAGCGGGTTCCGTTGGCCCGTGCGGCAGCGGAGAGCCATGGTGGCGACGGCCGCGGGGCGGGTGTAACATGGCGGCTGCAGCGGTGGGAGTCCTGGGCCTGCTGTGGAGCTGGCTGTGGAGCGAGCGCTTCTGGCTGCCGCAGAACGTGAGCTGGGCCGACCTGGAGGGCCCGGGTGACGGCTACGGCTACCCGCGCGCCCGGCACACCCTGTCGGCGTTCCCGCTGGCGGTGGTCGTCTTCTCCGTGAGGCTGCTCTTCGAGCGGTGAGAACCGCGGCGGGAGGCCGGGGGCGCGCGGGGGCCGGCGGGGCGTCGGAGGCCGGCGGGGCGGGAGGCGGAGCGTCCGAAGCAGAAGTGCGGAGAAGCCCGAAGCTGCGGGGGCAGGAACTGAGGCGGCGCTGGGGATGCGGGGAGCGTGGCGAGGGCCGGGCGCGGAATCTACGTGCAGACCGGCGGGTTTGGGGCGTGGGCAGGTGACAGAAGGTCTCGGGGAGCGCCGGCCCCCGTGAAGTGTAGATCTAGAGTCGTCTTGGGGAACCTAGAGGTTGCCTCCCAAGTTGAGTCGCTCCAGGGAGGAACAGGAAGGGGCCAGGAGAACCAGAGCTTGTTGGGGTCTTGGAAGCTGGTGGGGTCAGCGCAAGCACCAGAAGTTCCAGGCAGGAGTGGATTCCTCAAAATGTAACGTTTGAGAAGACACTTTAGCTTCTTAGCGTTCAGGGAAACCGGATCAGTTAGGCCCCAAGCCCTGATTTGTTAGCTCGAGGACTGTTGGTCGGTATAACAGGAGAAATCTAGCTGGGGATAGGGTGTGGTGAAGCCTGGGGCTTCCAAAGTTTGGAGAAGGTGTCAGAGGAGCTGTACGGTCGGGAGATGGAAGGAGTGGTCACTTTGAAGACTGGAGCCTGAGGGTTTATCAGTAAACAGCGTTGTGGAGCCTGCTTCTAGGGTTGTCAGAATCACCATGTGAAATTTCACTTTTGAATGGTGGGTCAAATCTGTTCTTCAAAATATAATCACTGGGGATTTGGTGTGATTTTATAATGTGAATTTATAGCTGTGTGTGATTTTTGATCAAGCTTTTCCAGACTCCAGGAAAGCTTACTTTCTGCATAGGCAAAGAGGGTGGTACTAAGGCAGCTTCTGTCCTTTTTACCTTTATCAAAGATGACTGTAATGCAAGAACACCCTTTCTGCATGGGAATGTGTTTTAGACAAAATCTGTTACCCTGAAATATCTGATTGGGATTACTTCTTTGATTTGTGTTCGACGGATATTATATGTAGCTACTAACCTGTATTTATGCAGTTTGTATTTTGTACTGTATCAGTCAAGTGCAAAAATAAATACATACGCTTTTTTTTTTTTCGTTTTTTGAGACAAGGTCTCCTTGTAGCCCTAGCTGTCCTGAAACTCACTATGTAGACCAGGCTGGCCTCGAACTCACAAAGATCCTCCTGCCTCAGTCTCCCAAGTGCTGGGACTAAAGGCATGCGCCACCAAGCTGGACTACATATGCTTTTTAGATGAAGTAAATGAAACTCAAAGTAAATGCCTTTTTGGGCCCTCAGGAAGTTAATGTTACAATTTTTAAAGGTAATCATTATTTTAAGTATCCCTGGGGTGGAGGTGCAGGCACAAACCACTTTCTCTTAGGAATAAATTAGATCCAGGTATTCTTTTCCCTAGTATTCGTGAGCTGAGAAATGAAATGTAATTGCTGTAGAGGAAGACAATCAGTCCAAAGACAGAATCTCCTTGTCATAGATTCATTCTCTGCATCCTATACAGATAGATCCAGTTTAGTGACTTCTCCACATTAGGGGTAAAATAGCTTGTTGCTTATAAACACCCATTATATATAAATTCATGTATATCTTCAGATTATAAAATCCCTCTTTCCCTCCTGTGGCGGAAGACATTCTCTGGCAGAGTCATTGGAAAGGATCCTTTACCTATGGGAATTGAGTGTTTCTATGGTGCTGTAGTGTCAGGGCAGTAGGAATGATAGAATCTGAGCTGCAAGGCTTCTAGTATGGTATTTCTGGCTAGTAAGGATAAGTACCTTGCTTATTTCCTGTTTGCTCTTAGGGAGACTTAACTCTAGAAACAGTGTTGCTATTTTGTTTCCTGGTGCGCTCCCTGTCTCAAAAGTTGGTTAGAATTGACTGCCAGATTACCAAGTCCTAGTTTGTGTGCTGGTCTTCCAAAACGGGAATGGAGCCACTCATATTTTAAGCCTATCCAAATTATTGGAAAATTTCCTTTTCCTACATTTCCTCATTTCTCAAATCCTACCTATTTCTAGAAACATTTTCTATAGTAATCATTGACTGGTCAGAGGTAGACTCCAACCCCCTTTTGCAGACAGTAAACTAAGACTTGAAAGTAACAAGGCTGGAGGTTTAGCTCAGTGGTAGAACACTTACCTAACATGTTCAAGGTCCTAGGTTCAATGCCGAACACCGCAAAAAAAAAAAGAAAAAAAAATTAAATTTTGCTGGGACTGGAGAGAAGGCTCAGTGATTATGAGCACTGGCTGCTCTTCCAGAGGACTCAGGTTAGTTCCCCATACCCTACATGGCAGCTAACAATTGTCTCTTAAGTCCAGGTCAGGGGATTTGATGCCCTCGTCTGGCCTCTGCCTGTTTGCACACAAGTGGTGTGCTTACATACATGCAGGCAAAACATACGTAAAAGTCAACAAGTCAAAAAATATTGTAAATTAAATTTTGCTGAGAATGGTGGCACACACCTGGCAGGATTAGGTGTTTAAAGTCATCTTTAGCTAAACTGAGGGGTTCCAGGCTGGCCTGAACTACATAAGACCTCATCTAAAAAAATAACAAAAACAAAAGTAATAAAAACAGCAACAGGAAGATAAACCGGGCTGGCAAGATGGCTCAGTGGTTAAGAGCACTGGCTGTTCTTGCAGAAGACCCGGGTTTGAATCCCAGTACCCATGTGGCGGCTAACAACCTTTCATAACTCCAATTCCAGGGGATCCAAAGACCTCTTCTGTCCTGTCCTCTGTGGGCATTGCACAACACGGGTGCACTTACACACATGCAGGCAATACACTCATACACATAAAATAAAAGTAAATAAGATATTTTTAAAAATATTAACCTCTTGTTCCTCATACTTCAAGTTTTAAAGGGGAAAAGTTCACATTCTTCATATTCTTTATGTATGGGGAGAGGCTTAAATTGTTACTGTATGTGTGTGTGTATATATATATATGTGTGTGTGTGTGTGTCTATATATATTTTTAATTCTGTATGTATGAATATATTGCTTGCATGTAAGTACACCCATGCCATGCAGTGCCCACGGAGGTCAGAAGATATTGGAACTGGAGTTACTGATGGTTTTTAGCCATCACGTGGGAATTGAACCCAGGTCCTCTGCAAGAGCAGCCGATGCTCTTAACCACTGAGCCATCTCTCTAGCCCCATATTTTATATTTTATATTTATTTTAATCTTTTTGAGACAGGGTCTCCCTGTAGCCCTAGCTGGCCTGGAACTCATTATGTGTAGACCAGGCTGGCCTTGAACTCTGAGGGTCACCTGCCTCCACATCCCAAGTTCTGGGATTAAAGGCATGTGCCACCACACCTAGCTTGTTTTCTAAGATGGGGTCTTGCCATGTACTACATACAGGCTGACCTGGAACTCAAAATCCATTTCGGCCTCTCACATATTGGGATTACAGGTATGAACCACTAGGCCCAGATTAATGGTCTCTTATTTTTGTTATTTCAGGGATCTCTCAAAGAATATAGAATTTACTTTCTTCTCGTAACCTACACTGAGTGCTTATTTTTTGTTGCATATTCCCTAGAGAACTACAGTCTCCTCTGATAGAGCTTACTTGAAAAACTATCTGCCCATAAATAAAATATATGTCATGTAACCCAGACTGGCCTCAATTTACTGTGCAGCTCAGCTTGGCCTTAAACTCCTACTGTTCACCTGCCTCCACCACCCAAGCCCTGGGATTACAGGCAAGTGCCACCACATCCACCCCTGTTGTCTGTTTTGCTTAGGAACCACAGAATGGACCTGAGGGTATAGCTCAGAGGTAGAGAGTTTGCCCTGGTCTCAGTCTCCAGCACAGGTAGAACCAAACAAAAACTCCAGGAATAGTTATTATCTGCCAAAGCACATGCTTGAGATGGTCTGATGCACAACGTAGCACGCGACCGGTAAATATTGAATGAGCTGGAAAAGGTCTGTTCATCTACTCACATGCTCAGAGGAGCCAGGAATATGCAGATCTTCAATATGAAATAAATACTTGGCTTGACTCAGCTTTGAGGATTCTTTGTCGCTGTTGTTAAATTTCATCATATTATATTTGCTTGCTTTGTACTTATCTTTTGTACTTTGTACATCTTCTCTCTTTTCTCCCTCTCCTCATACACATACTTATCTTCTGTGCCTTACCACAAAAGAGATACCTCCAGCAAGTTTGTTCTTTTCAATAGTATATTGCTAACTGAAAACTGAACGAATGGTCTAAGTTAGATCTGTTAAATCTGATATTTATTTATTTATTTAGTTAGTTAGTTAGTTACTTGAGACAGGGTCTCTTTGCATCTCTGGCTGGCCTAGAACATGCTATGTAGAGCACATTGGCCTCAAACTCAGAGATGTGCCTGCCTCTGCTGCCTAAGTGCTGGGATTACAACAGGCCTGAGACACCACTCCTGGCTTGTTTTTTTTGTTTTTTTTTTTTTTTTTGGTCTTTTTTGAGACATGGTCTCTGTAGCCCCAGCTGGCCTGGAACTCACAGAGAGCTGTCTGCCTCTGCCTCCCAACTGATGGGATTAAAGGCGTGTACCACCTTGCCTGGCTTTAAGCTAAATTTTAAAGATAAAACTGAGACTCAATGTCCAGTGTCTTGAGGGTCAAGGAGGAGCCTGAGATTAAATATTGATATCACCAGATCTATGGAGTTCATTTATTTTGGACATTTTATTGCAATAGGAGTTTTATGTTGCCAGAATAAAATTATTTTATGAGTTCTGCAGGAGCTGGATGAGTACTCTCAGTGCTGCTTGTTTGTTATTCTAGTCCTTTCTTCCCTCTTGTCACTTCAGGGCAATTTCAGAGTATATCTAAAACATCTTTTGGCATCGTTGTTTTTTGAGACAGGATTTTCCTGTAGCCCCAGCTGATCTGGAACTAGCTAAATAGACTAGGCTGGCCTCATTTCTTAGAGATCTCTGGGATCTTTAATCCCAGCACTCAAGAGGCAGA